CCCCGCATCAGCAATGAGGATTCGATGCCAAGGTGTCCCCACCGATGTCACACCTTCGCATCGGGCCACTGACCCCGCCTGTCACTTGCAAATCCATCGTAATGAGACCGGTGACCCAGTGCCAGGGGCAGCAACATACGCCGGTCACACCAGCCTCAACTGCATACACTGTCCGCAGACATCCAATCATCGCAGGAGACTATTCGGCCTTACATGCCTTCGAGAAAATCTTCAGTGAAACACCACAGCCCAGACGGCATTACCACATCTCACCACTTAATAAGACCACACATCGCCAGATCATCACAAACCTCAGCCCCGCATCATGCAAGTGGTACGCATGTTCCTTGCTGTACCCGGATGCGTAACTTGCTCACCAGATAGTGAGTGGCACATTTAGACAGCATATCTCAATTCTATCAACCACTGCGACCAACCCAAACAACGGTGAAGTGGTTCATGGTAGGGTGAGGAGGAAATGATGTCAACTCTGGGTACTCCAAGCCTAGGGCACTTCAGCGAATCCCTCACCATAGTAAAACTCATGTGCGTTGGATCTATCGCAATGCATCAAAAGTCGTGGCTTGGGAGGCCGCTGACTGACGGGATAACTCAGTTCTCGTAGGGTGACTGGCTGCAGGAATGACAGTCATGCTCAATGGCTCCTACTGGATGTGGCTTCTATAACACTCTTTCTACCTTGAGGTCGGAACCATCCTTTTTACGAAGACCCGGTCAATTTGCAGACGAAACCGTGTGTGGCAAGCGTAGAGGGCCCGGTGTGCTTCGCCAAAAAGTACACCCGAGCCCGCATCCGGTCGTACTGACTTTCTCTTGCTATCGGTCCCAGGTAGGTAGGGGTGGAGAGGGTGGTGTGCGAGTCTAGTATCGCCATTAACTAATTCATGTGAAAGCCACCGTCCTGCACCAACCATGCTGTGGTGGACATCGCCTTTATCGAAGGTCGGGCTGTCGGTTAATAACAAGCGACATATTGAGTTTGAGACCCGAATTTCAGTCTAGTAAAATGATGCCAGAATCCTCTAATAATATGTTTTCCGTATTCCGCACTATGTTTAAGGCAGCTAACGAGGTTTAAATGTGATAAGACGTCGTTATAATGTTCTAGATGAAGGTGTGCCCGCTTTGCGATAGGTTCTACAAGTTCGTGTCCCTAGAACGAAGTCCTTCATCTACTTCTCGTTCACAATCCTTGTCAATCAGCAGCTAATATTTCGCTCCGTATAGGAGATACTTCAGTAACTTGTTTAGCCTCTTTCCCTCAAAGTTTTTCTGAGTGGTCCTAAGCGGCCTTTCCGGCGCCAACTTCAAAAGAACATGGCAAACATCTCTTTCGAAATGTCTAGTACCCACTTGCTCGTCTCGTCACAATTAGTCGTGGTATATTGAGACTTCATTGACTCGTCCCTCAATTTGTTGAATGGGTATTGCTGGCAGTGCGGAGTTCTTAAGATAACGAAGTGGATGCCCTGCACAGAAAACTACTCACCTTAGTCTTCGGCCTACTTTCAAAGTGCCATGGTCAACAAGAACCGTCGTGTCTGGAGTTGGTTTGGCACCAGTCGACGTGGATTTATTCACAGAGGGCATCAAAGAGTCCAATGTAGGCCAAAAACTGACGTGGCATATTCGTAGGGGAAGGTCGATAAAAAAAGATTTCCTGATGCAATTTTTAAATTCGCCTTAACTTCGATCACTTTTATATAAGGTAATGTTGATAAAAACCAGAAGACGAAATTAACTCACTTATTAATACTACATGGACCTGCGCTTATACTGATTTATAGCTGCAACTCTCCTCTCAAAGATATATGATAAATCTTCTGGCTTTATCATCTTCCATGAATTCATAAAAGAGTGCGTGATTGGTGGTTTGGGGGCCATCTGTCAAAGCTCATGCGAGACATGCTGTATTGAACTGGAGTCCGAGGATTCAGCCAACCGTGGACGGCATTTACTGCTACGAGGCACATATATGGTTCTGGTGTATGTTGCCCAATGTCGACGGACTACTGAGGGGTCATTCTTTGACTACTCATGTAATCAAAGCTGGCCAAATGACTGGTGGTTTCCCATTTGTTATATTTTTCGTATGACATGAACTAAGATGGGTATTCTGTGAAACTACAATGACAAACCATCATTCCAAGTCTGATATACACGACTTCTGGATTGTAATGGCATTCTGCTCATTTGGAGGAGGACTTGGATATGGAGGCTGTCTGAATCCCTTTAAGAGCAGTTTATTGTCCTTCGGTGTCTATGTCCTAAAACGTCGTTAATCGGTCTAGGGAATCATACCACTGCATGGCCTGCAGGATGAAGTAACTTGAGGTGCAACGGAAAATAATTTAGTATGCTTGCACAGTCGACTAGACTCGCCGAGACAATTGGAAAATGAATTTGCAATCTGAAACTGTATAGTCTCACTTGTCGTGGTGTAGCTCGAAGCACAATTATTTGGATTACGAGGTCGGACATAAAGCGTATGCATCTGAAATACCACATAAAGTGAGGCGCCTGTCCTCCGTGATTTTCTTTGGCAATCTGTCCCGGGACCTTTTGCCTTTCCCCATTTGCACGATGGGATCTGAGATGATCTCAAAAAACCACCCTCTGCTTCCAGATGAAATAAGCATTTCAGGTCCTACTTAGGGTCCTACGTTTCGCTGGAAAAATAGATGGGAGGTATAGAGTGGTTCCTAATAGTATCCTACATTTCTGGAGAAATCTAAACTCCTATTAAGAGACCGAGAATTTATATTAACGACGCTACTTTCCACAACATGAGAGGAGGAATTAATTCTGCCTGCAGAGACCAAACTGCCTTGGGAAGGTCAATTTACGCGCTACCGATAAAGTACGCATGAACTACTGGCACTATACAAGAGGAATATCTAGTATTGCTATTTGTTTCCAAGGCCTTTCATAAGCAGTTGGACTATTACTCATCAGCGTATTCTTCTTACCTCTTCGGCGACATCGGAGTCGGAAAAACATGTTGCAACAGGTTAAGTAGATGCAATCGTGCTCTCCAAGCCTTGACGTCTGCCGAGTATACCACACCTGTTAGATTTGCAATTTACAGCAAAGACGGATAGGCGCAGACGAATCAACTTGCCCATTTGATATGCGGTACCGGTGGGTATCTATTTTTCAACCTAAATCATGCACGGAATTACCGGAGGTATTATCATTTGCTGTTAAAGCACTCAGTGATTCCACGAGGTCGGTAGTTGACTTTCTAATTTGACAATGTAAAGCAACAAAGTGCGTTATGGGAAGTTGTTTTGGTCTAACGTGCTCGCAATTTTCCAAGCGTCTTCAATCTATGTGAGATTTACGTCGGGTCCACAAATGGGTAACCTTGTTTTAGTTAAGTACCACTAAGTTTCTAGACGCTGAACGGTCAACAAACTTCCATGTGATATCTTACAGCGTTGTGCAGAGCGAAGTCTGATTGTGGGTATTAAAAAATATTTCCTTCCTTATGCTCTCCTCATATGCTCCTGGCCCTTTCTGCCGACCCCGTCGGTTATTT